CTGGTGAAAACTCTGCTCCACTCCACACACACCAGACTGAATGCCCCTCCAGGTGCCCCATCCAGCCTCTCATCACCCCTCTCTACTCTGAATACAAGTAGCCCCAAAGGACTAAGCCTAGACACCCCAAGTAGCAATCCAAGAGCCAGAAGTAAGTCCTAGTGCCTTAAGCCTTCGCTGGCAACCCCCTGGGCACGGCCAGAGGAAATGGTGAGTGCCAGTTACTAAGTTGTGGGACAGAGATGGGGGAGGAGGCACAGAAAGGGCACTGGACTTGATGACTCCTTACCTCTTCAAAGACCCAAGGTCCCATCTGGGGGTGGAGTGTGGACACCAAGGTGGAGGTACACCCAGCCTCACTCTCTTCTGTTTCCCAAGTACCCATGCTTGAGATGCAAGGCAGGCCCCGGACTGACAGCAGGGCAGGTAAGGGGAACAGGAGCTGCCATACCCACATTCCCAAGGTTCATACCCACACCTGCAGCCCATGGCATCCCTCTGACCACGACCAGACACAACAGCCTACAGAGTGGTCAGCACCAGTTGCCACTCAAAGGCAGGGAAAAGTGAGCTGCAAGGACAGATCCTTTGAAAGTCCACACACCCAGCGGCACAGAAAAGGCTGAGTTTGGAAGCTGGTGGGAGTTCAAGTCCCAGGAGTGTCACTTCCTAGGTTGGTGACCTCAGGGCAAGACAGTTGGCCGCCTGGAAGCCAGGGACACTCAGCCACCTGGCCGGCTGGGGTGAGGATTGGTGCGGCTGGCTCCCAGCCCTGGCGCCAGGCTGGCAGGGTCTCGGCTGCTCCTCAGCACCCACACTCTCTCCCGCACCCCACCACCACAGTCAGAGGGCCGAGGTGGGAGCCCTTGGGGTGTGTGGGGAGGGGGCACCCAACCCTCAGAAAGAGGGGGCTGGGGGGCGCTGAACTTTCGAACCCGCAAACCCCCCGCGCCGTTCATTACCTTAACGCGAGTTAAAAATAACCGTCTCATCTCTTTAAATTAGTCTGTCTGCAATTACCGCCTGGCACGGCGCTGCCCGCCATCGTCCCGCTGGAGCGGCGCCAGGTGGCAGGCGGGGCCTCACCCTGCCTGTCTGTCGGTCTGTCCGTCTGTCGGCTACCCTCCCTCCAGGTCTTCCCCCCCTTCCTCCCCGCAGAATGCCCAGCCCAGGGCGGGAGAGGAGGGGGGCATCTGGACAGCCCCGCCCCCACCCTCCCAGCGCCCCAAGTTACTGGCGCTGGGGCGGGGCGGGCGCGGGAGGGCTGGAGGAGCCTGCGGGCGGAGGAACAGGGAGGGGGCCCTGAGGCAGGCGGCGGGGGAGGGGCGCGGGAGGCCCGGGAAGCCGGAAGGGCCCACAGCGCGCCAGCGCCCGTGGGTGGGTGTGAGCAGGTGGCCGTGGGAGTCTGCCGGGCGTGCCAGCAACTGTGCCAGGAGCGGCTGGCACGGGCTCGTGCCCAGGAGGCGGGCAGCTGCCAGCCCCCCACACACACCCCGCTCTGCAGAGGGGGGTGAAGACACCCCCCTCAGCAGAGCTCACACAGCCTCCTCCAGCACCCTCATCAACCCTTGGGGCTGGGGATCCCCAGAGGACAAAGGAGAAGGATGGAGCCCAGCTGGAGCTGCTGGGGGTGCCTGCACTAATTCTCCCCACCCCCAGCCCTGCTGCAGTGGGACCTGCCCCCACTCCCACCCCTGCACATCAACTTGCCATCCAGCCCCCATCCACCTGGAACTTAACTGGGCCAGAGCCTGGGCCAGATGGGGGTAGCACCACCCCTCCACCCCTGCCCCTCAACAGCCAAGCTGTGCCAGGGCCTAAGGGAGAAGGGAAGTCCCCATACACCCTGCTCCTCCCCACCTAGCCTGGGGACAGGAACCAGGAGCACCTGGGCCAGGCCCTGGGGCTCCCAATGGAGCTGGCAACCAGGAAACACAAAAGCGGGCAGAACAACTCCAGGGTCACTGCACTGGAGGGCACAGAAGGCTTCCAGGAGTCCAGGGCTAGGGAAGAGTGAGGCTGGAGCATCTGCCAGGAAGCAGGAGGCCTGACTCAGATGGTCACACTCCTGGGATGCTGCAGAGAGCAAGGGGGGGGGGAACTCTCCATCCAGGTCCTGAGCCCCCTTGCCTGCAGACCCTCTTTCCCCAGATAACAGGACAGAGCCCTGTGGCAGGGTGCCCAGCCTCTCTCTGGGCCTTAGCCTATTTTGGTTGCTTTGAGCCTTCTGCTCGTCTTGCCTCCTCCCTGGCCTGGCTGTGTGACCTCACCTCATGGTAGATGAGACCACAGGGTACAGCGTGCTAGATGTTTCTGATTGGGCCTATTCCACCTTTCTCCAGACCTGGGAGCCATCACTTCTACCTTGGCACGCCCAAACCATTCCCCAAATCCAATGTGCACAGTCCTACCTCCCTGCCTGCACGTGTGCAGTCAGCACCCTTCTCTGAAAAACACCTCCCCAACTCTCCCCACCCCAGTGAAGGCAGTTCAGAGCAAGCGCCAGCCCCTTTGGGATGAGCCCCACCCAGTCCTTCCAGGGCATCTCATCCACCTTGCCAGCAGCTCCCATTGGGAGTGGGCCTGGCTGAGTGCTGAGGCAGGTGCAACGTCTTTCCCCACTAGTCCTTCCACCCTGACTAGCAGAGCGTACTCCATAACCCAGGAATTCACGTGTAACACTTTTGAAGGAGAAGGTGTACGCACTGGCCCTAGGCCTGGCCCCTGAGGTGTCCTGCGGTCCTTGGCCACCTGACACTAGCTGGGAGTTAGGGAGGGCTCCTCCCACAGGTCTCTGGAGGAACTGAAGGGGAATGTCAGGAGAGGCACAGGAGTGTGAAGCTCCAGCCAGAAGTGTCTCTGGGAAGCTGGGAGGGGGCTGGGGTAGACAGAGGACAGCCCCTGACAGGCCAGGGCTTGGGTGGTCTCAGCAAGGACCGGGTCAGGAAGCTAAGTCTGCAATCTTCTTGGCCTGAAACCAAGGAGTCCAGGCCCAGGGAGGACCAGCATGTGGGAACTACATGCAGAAGGGCAGGCTGGAGACCTGGGCCCTGTCCAAGGCCCGCAGACACCCTGAGAAGGGCCTCAGGCTTAGGATGGCACTGGATCCTTCCCGAGCACACCACCATCCACATCCACCGATCTCAGGCCTTCAGTGCCCCCTGTGTTTGCACCTGCCAGCCTGACACTGCTCCAGAGAGGGAAACACACCCACCCAGGTGAGCATCCACCAAGGGTGACCTGCGGCAGTCCGTGCCTCCACATTGGGCCTCAGTGGCCTTGTCTGAAAGCAGCACGGTGAAATCAACCCGGGATCCCTGAGAACGCAGAACCAATGGGAGGTGCTCGGCACATGGCTCAGCACCAGGACCCTCCATGAGCCACACTTCTCTAGGGGTCTGCAGCCTCAAGCGCCATCCTCCGTAATCCACCAAGCCCAGCTGGAGGTCTGCCTCCTGCAGGAAGCCCTCCTGGCCTATTCTGGTTCAAGGCAGTCTTCCCTGGCCTCACGCCCTCTGTACCAGCCACTCACTTCACTCTTTCACCAGACAGGTGTTTGCGGCTTCTCAGTGCTAGGCTGTATGCTGAGTTCTGTGGGCACAGGGTGGGGAGGGCAAATGAGACCAGACCCAAACCACTGAGACACCACAGGCAAGGGGAGGGCCAGAGAAGGGGGAAGTCCTAAGCTAGTGAAAAGAATTATGGCAGGCTTCCTGGAGGTGGCATCTGAATGTGGTACCCTTTAGGACAGTAAATGTCTCTACAGAAAAAGAGTGGAAGGGCAGGTCAGGGCACAGAGTGCAAGGAAGAAGTCAGGAGCAGAATCCAGGCTAGGAGATGTCTGGTGGGGGCCAAGCCCAAAGGGACTGGAGAAGAGACAGGGGAAGGAACCTGCTCCTCCAGCTACTATCCCTGCCCCACAGGGGCCAAGAGACAGAGGCCACCAGCACAAAGCCCTAGAGCTATGGGCTCCCAGGTCAGGTACCCCAGCTGCCCCCCCCCATGAGGCTGCTGTGGGCTTCCAGAGTTGCCCCAGTCCAAAAGGCTCCCCCGCCCCTCAAGTTCCTCCCCCCCCACTAGCCTGCAACCAGAACCGGGCATGGCCCCTCCCTGAAGGCAGACACGCCTCTCTCAGAGGCCCCTCAACCTCCTCCTCTGCCCACATTCCAACAACACAACCAGAGGGGGAGCTGGGTCCCAAGACCCCTGTCCTTGCCCAAAATGGCTCCCTCAAACCCCTGGCTGGCAGGAGGCCTCCCCGAAATACCCCCTGCTCCTACCCTAAACCGTAAATGCAAACTGGGGTCAGGAAGCCAGAGTAGTGGAAGAAAGGTCCCTAGCCCTTAGTACCCTGGCCTCCAGCCATCAGAAGGCATCACCAGCCCCCCCAGTGCTGATCCAGGTGAAGGGGTGCCTGGCAGCTGTTCCCCGGAGAACTCAGGTCACCTGCTGAGTTCCAACCCCTCAGGGGCTGGGAGCCCCCGAGTGAACTCCTGGCGCTCACAGAACTGTGTGTGAGTCTATGGTTGCAAGCACTCCTCACCCTGGAGCCAGCTCCAGAAGGGCCGGTGAGAGATCTGGGCGGGAGAACAGCACCTGGCCCCAAGTCACCAATGCCAGCTCTTGAAGGGAGAGCAATCCCTGCGGACAGCGTAAAACAGGAAGACCACGAAGCAACTCGGGGGACCGGTGGGCTCCCCAGTGCCCACAGCCGTTCCTCTCGGCCCCTCAAGATCAGGGTGGGGATGCCCACCAGGACCTCAGAGCGGCAGAGCCCCCTGTCACCCCCGCTAGCTCTCCCGCAGGCATCCTTCCCCGCAAGGGGGCACGCACCAGCCGCTGCCAGCACTCCCTCGTCTGTCCGTCGCCAGCCCCACGCCCAGGGCGCACACTTCGTGACCCCCGAGGGTGCCCCCCAGAGCGTCCTGGCCCGCCCGCCCGGGGCCCAAAAACAGCTAGCAGCGGGCCCGAGGCCCCCTCCGCAGCCGCACGCCCCCCACCTTCCAGCCGGCCGAGCTGTTGCTGTCGCCTTTATCCTTGAAGTAGGGCACGTAGCGGACCATCCAGTCGTAGATCTGAGAGAGCGTGAGCCGCTTGTCCGGGGCGCTCTCGATGGCTTTGGTGATGAGGTCGGCGTAGGACAGGTTCCCCCACGCGTTCCGCCGGGAGCTCTTGGCTTTCCGCAGCGGTCCGACCTCCGCGCCCAGCGGCGGCGCTGGGGCCATCGTCGGCGCCGTGGCCCGGCGCTCCGGCCCGCAGTCCTCGGCGCCCTCGGCCACCCCTGCGCCCAGCGCTCCGTCCTCGTCGCCCGCCAAGTCGGGCTGCGGCAGGGGCCAGGTACAGGAGCGCGGCCGGCTCTGCGGCGCGAAGTCCGGGTCCACGTCCACCTGATGCGCTCGCAGCTTCGCAGCCATGGTCCCGCCCGGCTCGGGCGAGGAGGGGAGGGAGGCTCCGCGGAAGGTGGGCGGGCGGCTCCGGGATATGCGCGCCCCGGGGAGGCCCGCGGGAGGGGTCCCTGGCGGCGCCGGCTCAACCGCGGGGTGCCATGGGCCGGGGCGCCGTGGCAGGGGGCTGGACGCGCTGGCGAGCACGAAGCGAGGGAAAGACCCGGGCAGTGAGGGGGCGGTGGCCCGGGAACCCAGCGGGCACACACCTCGCCCAGCCCCGCTTCTAGCACCTGCCGCTCGCCTGCGCCTGCAGCCACCACCGCCACCTCCGCTGCCGCCGCTCCCCGGGCGCCGGTCCCGCGCGCGGGCCCCGCTCTCCCGGGACGGAGCCGGATTGCACCATGCCGGAGCCCGCGCCCGTGCCCGTGCCGGAGCCCGCGCCGCCGCCGCCGCCGCCCCGTGAACGCCGCCGCCGCTCCGGCTCCAGCGCCAGCTCCCGCGCCTGCCGCGCTCAGCGCCGGCTGCACCTCGGGCTGGGCGGGGGACGGCGAGGGGGCGGGCCCAGGCGCGAGGGGGCGGGCCCAGGCGCGAGGGGGCGGGGCCAGGCGCGCGGGGGCGGGGCGTGCTCGCCGGCGGCCGCGGGATCCTCTGCCCGCCCGGTGCCCCTCCTGCGGGTTAGGCGTGGGGGCGCGCAGCTCCGAGCTCCCGGACACCCAGCCGTAGCCCCTGCGCGCAACAGCGCCGCCTACAGAGCAGGGCCGGAGCGGCAAGGACGACCCCGCCCCTGCTCGGCACAAGGGGAGGGGGGCGCGGAGGCGGGACCTGCGTGCTTCCATTGGTCCGCGGCGGGAATGCCCCGCCCACGGACTCGCTGAAGCTCCGCCCAGAAGAGCGTCAGCGGGTTATTGTTACAACCCGGGGTTTCCCGGGGCAACGGGAGGGGCGGGGCTCCGAACTCTGGCCCCGCCCTCCGTCCCCGGGGATGCGTGCCCCTGCTTTTGCTTCTAAGACCCCTGACGTTTCCCTGTCTGGATTCCTGGAACTTGACCGGTGATGGAGCGCACTCCTCTTTGTGCCCCGCACCGAGCCGGGGAAAAGCAGTGGATCGAGAAGACCTGGGTTCTGGGCCGAACTTGTCCACAATTCTAGGTTTTCCACCTGCAAGTGGGATCTTCCTGGGCCCTTACGGTGCCCGTGGGCATGGCCGGGCACCTGCGGCACTCATAGTTGACCACACCACGGAATCGTTGTAGAAAGCATGAGAACGGGCTGCGGGGGCTGAGCCGGGGACCGCCGTTGCATTCGGGCAACCTCCAGGGTGCGGAGTCCAGGAGCACAGGTGTAGAGTGTTGGAGTCTGGAAGGTTAGGTAGGGGGTCTGTTGGTCCCGAAGCTCCCGGTGTCGGGAGGGGGCTTCTTGTTCCTTTTATAGGAGACTTGGTGATCACCTCCTTACACCAGGCGCTGTCCAGGCACAGGGCTGAGAGGAAGCAGAGCCTTGCTGCACAGATGAATCAGAATCCTCAGGTGACCCCTGAGAGCCCAAAGGGTGGGAGGCCAGGTGCCCACCCCTAGAGTGCCTGCCAAGCTGGACTTCAGGTGGTCCCATTCCCTTCCTCAAGGCACTGTGGGAGATTCTCATTCTTTCAAACTCATCAGAGACGCCAACCCAAGCCTGTGGCCTTCTCTAATCCCAACCCCCAGTACACCACTCCATCGGCAGACCACAGTAGGGGAGTGGGGGAGGCTGCCAGCAGTACCCAGGGCCCTGTTAGCACGGAATTCCTATTTGGCCATTCAGCCAGCCAAGGCCCAGAGTTGGGGGGTGGGGGGCAGTGGTGGGGAGTGACTTGCCCAGATGGAAGGGGCAGGTCTAGGATGCCTATCTCCTAACTACCTGGCCAGTCAGTGCTTTGTTCCTGAAGGAACTGGGAGTTCAGTGAGGGAAGTGGGCCCAAAGCTTGGGAGTGGGACCTTCTCTCCCAGAGTTCCTGCCTTCTAGCCTAGGATAGAGGAGCAGTGCTGGGACAGGGTGGGTGTGGGGAAGAGAGAAAGGGAGTGTCGGGAGGGCTGGAGGGTCCCTTCTGGCCCGCCGCCCGAGTGGGAATGTGCCCAACTTACAGATGCCTGGCACGACATCTGCCTGAGTCACATCCGGGAGGCCAGGGTGGGCATGGGAACTGTTGGCTGCACTCCTTCCCTTACACACACGCCTTCCAGGTGGTTCTGCTTAGAGCCACAAGACCCCCTCCCACAGCTCTGGTGGGCGCTGCCTGCAAGGGGCACCCACACCGGGGGCTGGCTGCCTCTCTAGGTACCCTGGAGCCTGAGTGACCCTTCTGTAGTGGTCAGCCCTGGCCTCCCTCTGAGCTGTGAGAGGAGGCATGCTGGGGACCATACTGGAGCTGGGAAGATCTTTCAGCAGGGCAAGGGCAGGGGAGGAGGTGCTGGCTCAGGCTGCCACTGCAGGGCTGTGAAACCAGGCTGGCAGAGAGGGCCTAGAGGCTGACTCAGGCTCTGCCCAGCGCTCTGCCCCGCCCAACGTTCACAGCTGCTGCTGGGCTCTCCTCTGGGGCCCGTGGCTGGCACTCCAGCTTCCCCCACACTACTACCACACCCACACACTCCCTAGTGCACTCTATCATTTGCCGGAGTCCAGCTCCAGCTGAGTTCGGAACTCGCGAAGGGTGCATGGATGAGGCGCAAAGAGGAAAGAAAGAGACAGACCACTAGGACTTTATGATCATAATGGACGACGCACAAAAGCTGTCCACTTTATTTATACAAAATCAGTCAAATTCTGGCTCAGACTTTTTACGTCATGACCAAGTGGGTGTTTCTAAGAATAATTCTGCCATTTGTTTTACCTAAAAACAATAGAAGTTCCTGCTAATATTACCTAGAATTTCCTGCTAGGATTCTTATCCTACAATTCAATCTTGTATCACAAAGAAAAGGAGAACTTAAAGATCAAGGAAAGAATGAAAGCCTAAATACAGGTCCCTTGATTAGCATAGGTTCAATGGGGACAGCCAAGACAGTAGGAATGATAAAGGGCCCTTTTTGCAAGACATTGACCTCCAAGCTCAGGCTGAGCAAAAAGTTAACCTCGCAGTAGCAAATGCCAGGATGGATTAAAATTCTTCTGCAGGGTGGTCCAGTGTCCATGCAAAAGAAGGTGGAGCTGCATTCAGGTGGTTGTAGAGACATCCGCTGGGTGGGCCCTGCCGAACAGCGGGAAATTCCTTGCAGCCCTGCCTGCAATGGAACACTCTTCACCCCCTCATGTCCCCCACATCTACTGCATGGACCCCAACAATCATTCTTTGCCTTACAGCTCCGTCCCAGCTCACACATTCATTACAAAGCAGCAGAACAGTGATTGAGAATGGGGGCAAGTTTCTTAAGTGCTCAAAGTCACTGTTTGCGGCTCTACAAGTGGGTATGGCAGTAATGCCGCCCTGGGAGGATAATGAAAGAATTAAATGCAACTCCCAAAGGCAGCACCAGGCCAAGAAGGAGTGCTCAGGAAACGCTCACGGCTCCTCTGTCCTGGGTCTCTCTCCCTCCTGTGCACACAGCTCTACCCATTATCGTCCTGCGTGCATGAGCACCCACGGGAACACAGACTAGCTCACGTGCACATAACCATGTGCCTTTTACTTGAATCCCAAGCACGCAGACCCACACGCCCCCAAGGTCCCCTTGACTACCTGTTCTCCCCACCTGGGGCCCGCCCCTCCCATGCTCCCTCCCTACCACTCCCACCTTCACCCCAGTGCATCAGCAGGCCCTGCCTGCCTCACCCTTGCACTCCTCCTCCTTCCACTCCGGGTCCACTCACACAGACCTGAGGACTCAGCGCTGTCACTCACTTGCTGGATCACAGACTTGGGGGCTGTGCTTCTCCCACTCAGCTCCTCCTTGGGAGCACAGAACCCTAATCCTGCATAGACCTCCTTTACTCAGCTGGCCCACTGCCTCCCAAGGGCAGCACACATCACTCAGCCCTCCCACATGCGCTGCTATTGGCAGACACCCTCTAAGAGAGCCACAGCGATCCACCTTCACCCTGCTCTTCCTCCTCCAGGCTGAGCTGCAGCCCCTCCCTGCTCTCAGAATAAATCCTGCCACCACTGCGGCCGGCTGTGGCCACTGCTGAGCTGTCAGGGCCTGCAGCGCCCCAAGTCCCCAGCACTCAGTGCCAGTTCTCGGGCTCAATACGGGCAAGTGAGGACAGGAGAACAAATTCTCACTGAGATCTGATGGCTCAAGCTGCATTGCACCCCCATATGCCCAATCCAGAGCCCATCTGGAAAACAGCTCCCAGGATTGGCGCCTGCCTCTGGCACAGGATGTGTCCATGTCCCCTGATCCTCATACCTTCCCTGCCAACCCTCACAACAGTAGACTGGGCCTGGCCTTCCCCCTCCTTCGACCTGGGAAAGATTTAGGCAGTGAGAGGCCCAGTGGAGGCAGCAGGGCAAGTTAGGAGCAGAGTCAGCCTGCAGCCCCCTAACCAAGCTCCCCTCACCCTCCAAGAAGAGCTGGGGAAGACCCTTGCCCAAGCGACACAGTTCTCACAAGTTCCCACTTGGGGCCTATGATGAACACAGCCTGGCTGACATTTGATGCCACAGTTGTCAGCAAAAAAAAGAATAGCACGGGGTGATGTCTGGGGACACCTCTGGAAAGAGGGGTTAGGGCTGGTGTCCAGAGAGGCCTCCTGGGGTGCTGGAAAGAGGAAAGACTGCGGGAGCCAGAGGGGACATCAGGACAGCTGGGAGTACCTCCAGGGCAGGCTCAGGCCTGGCCAGGATAGTGCCAGTGTCAGGAAGTGGGTGGGGCTGGGTGGAGGGACCAGGAGAGTGAGCAGGGTGCCACCGGAAGACACAGGCTCCTTACAGAGCCTCTGCAGGCGATGCCTGGCATGGAGTTCTGCAGGCCTTCGGGAGGCAGCTAGGAACAGCCACTGCTGGGTGCCCAAGGACATAGGGCCCATGTTCAAAGGACCTTGAGTCTTCCTTGTCCAGGGTGCTGTACCACCATCCCCAGAAATAGAACCTCCCCCACTCCCACCCCAGGGAGTAGTGAGGGCCAGAATAAGCTCCTCCTGCAAGCCAAACCTGCCCAGCCAATGTCCTTTCCCCTATACATTGCACAGACCACCTGTTAAGTGGTGGTCCCTGTGGAGCACCTGACAGGTATGACTCCGAAGAATCTGGCCCCTGGAGGGGCAAGATCTCAGCCTGTCTGTCTTCTTGCCTTCTGTGTCTACAGAGCCTACAGCAG